ATCCTGCTCTTTGCCTGGTTGACTCTTCCACTTCCTCTGAGTCTTCCACTGCAGTCACATTGACCACACCCTGTCCTTTGGTATTTTGCAGATACCTTTTCTTATCTGATTGTTACACTTAACACATCGCTTGTAATTGCTTGTAATTATTCGTTCTCTCTCTATATAGGTCTTCTCAAGAGACTTTATTTTCTTTTTAGCAGTGACTGTGTACCTTGCATCCCTATACATAGTAAATACTCTGTATATTCGATGAATGAAAGAAAAACAGAGGAAGGAGTAGTGTATCAATGGAATAGGGGGAGAGTTATTGGAATTAAAGAGGGCAAGGTATTTTTAGAATAGAGTGCGAAGATGCCTCTGAAATTTTTAGTTTCTAGTTTCTGTTCAACTCTAACCTAAAGAAAAATTTATTTTAAATAAATTTTAAAAATTGTCTTCCAAATCAGTAATTCTTGATGAAACTTAGAGCTATCATTTAGTTTAATGAAGTAGATTAAGAAATATAAGCATAAACCGTTCTTTATCCTAAGAATAGTGGAATAGCCAATTATAAAGGCTGTTTTAAGCATCTGTTTTTCTAAACTCTTAAATCCGTATACAATGGATGTTATTTTTGAAGAAATACATATTTATAATAATACATTTATAGTTTTATAGTTTTCATAAGTACAGGTTTATAGAAAATACTGAAAAGCAAAAAGAAAATATTCTAACAAAGATTAAAGGTTAACTTTGTGATATGTTTTTTCATAACTTTATTGTATATTTCAATGAATACATTTGTGCATATTTAATACATAATTGAGTCATGTTATAATTTTGTTAAAACAGCTTATTTTCACCTTTTAATATTATTTTCTTAATTATATTTTATTTTTTAACTTTTTATTGAAACAATTTTAATTCAGGAAAAGCAATACAATAAATACCCAAGTTCCCTATACCTAGATTTAATAATTACTAAAATTTTGCTATTTTTGCTTCTTCTGTATTCAGAGTATTTAAAAGTTTAATGGAGTTTTAAGCCTTAAAAACTTAAAAAGTTTATAAATGCTGCTCACTTATGAAAGAATAGCATTTGAAATTAAATTATTTATATTTTTTGTACTTATTTAAGTATGTGATTTTGATGAATAAATTATTTTGGTAATTTTTTTAGTTCCTCTTATTGAAATGGCAAACATTTATTAGAATAGAAAATAAATTTAAGATTTATTATTCAAAATTCAAAAACAAATGTAAAAGGAATATAAAGTTTCTCATGTGATTTTTTTAAAGTTTGTAGCAGTTAAATGTTTGAAATTATTAAAACTTAAACTGCACGTGAATGTTTAGGATACCCTTGTATGTTCATTATTTTTTGCTAAACCATTTCAAAGTAACACACATCATATTTTATCCCTAAAAACATCTGCATGCATTTTTCAAAAATAATGATAGTCTCCAACATAATCATGATACTATTATCACATATAACAAAATTAACAATAATTCCCAAATATCATCTAATAGTCAGTACATATTCATACTTCACCAGTTGTCCCAATATGTCTTTTTAACTGTTTCTTTTTTTTTTTAGCTACAATACATGCAAGGAAGATGAATTATGTATTTGGTTGTTAGATTTCTTAAATCCCTTTTAAGCAAGCACCTCCTCTTCCTTTTTTTTTCCCCATGACATTTGCTTTGTGAAGAAACATGCTCGATGACTTGCACATTGTTCTAAATTCTGGATTTGTGTGATTATTTCCTTATGATATTATTTAACTTGCTCCCCTATCTCTGTATTTCCTGAGAAGTGGATATTAGGTCTAAAAGCTTTGTTCAATTCAAGTTGAACTTTTTTTGCAAGAACGCTGTGTAAGTAATGCTAAGTACTTTATTATAATAGGATTTTTAATGATTGTGAGTCTCTCATTGTGTGGCCATGTTATTATATTTAAACAATGACTTATTGTTGGATATAAACATATTTGAAAGAGTACATAATTATATCTTTAAAATAATATATTTTTTAAATTTATTCTTTGATAAGAACGTATTTGGGATGTGTCCGTCTCTTTCCAGCAAGATTGCTAAGCAGTTGAAATAACTGGAAAATGTCAGGGCTTTTTGTTACTTAAACTGTAACTCCAAAATAGGCATAGATATCTTTTAAATCCCATTTTAAAAGCTACTGTAAGTAAGATACACTGTGTATATCTTAAACATTATAACTTTAAATAAAGAAACTTATTTACATTTTCAGTATGTTAGACAAAAAAATCTTTTATTAATTGTCTTATACAGTAAATTGGCATTTGAATTTATTCAGACTAATGATCCCCAGGGGAGCATAAACTCTTGCTTATTAATTTCTGGGTATTTCTAGTGAAACAATTGATTGTTTTTGGTTAGTGTCTTGGTCTTTTAACAGATAAAAATAATTGCTTCATCTAATTAAAAGTTTTACTTATATTAGATTCATGCCAAAATCCACTGACCTCTTTGGACTCCTAAACTCTTTATCTTTCTCCCCTTGTCTTCTTTCCTCATTTCTCTTTTCCAGATTAGAAATCAACAGTTTACTTATTATTATATTACTCTAAACTTAAGTAAAATTTATTCACATAATGGATAAATTATTTAAAATTAAATCTAAGCAGATACATTTATTATGGTCATCAACCAAATTATGCACATCTCTTTTTAATTAAAGAGTACTATGTAAATATACAAATCGTACTTCAGATTTACATAGTACTCTGGTTTCTAAAACATTTTCCTATATATTTCATTTGAATCCCACAACAAACCAGTATGAAATCAGCATTGCCATTGTAGGAATGAGAAAGCTCAGAGAAGCTACATGACTTGCTCAAAGACACATAATAATAAGTAGTGAGGCCAAATAAGAGCTCAGACGTTCTAACACAGTTAAGTATGTTTTATGCTATACCACCATACTTCAGTTTTCAATGCTAACTTCTGTACGGAAGGATTCAGTTACCAAACTTCAATCTACTTTTCAGATTTCACGTTTGAGAAATGTGAAAACAAATCTTTTTCAATATTATTTTTTAAAACTCTTGAATGAATCGTTTTCAAGAAAATAGTTTGCTGATGTTCAAATATTTTAAAGCGAGTGTGACCGATACTATGACATTCTTACTAAATTTCTTTCATCTTAAATATCACATGTTTAATTTAAACTGTGGGAGGCACATTAATTTTACCAGGGCAACAGATGAGCCTCAAGCACCAACATTCTTCACTTGAAGTGAGAAATTGAGTTCCAAGAGTAAATAAAAACAAGATTGAAGGTTTAAATCCTCTGCTAGGCTTTTTGAACTTATATACTCATTAAATGTTTATTGGAGTGGTGGGATTACAAAGGATTTGGGGAGCTTCATCAACTGGTATATAGTTAATCACTAAGTAAAACACTACATTTGATAAAGTGTTTCTCACGATGCCACATTCAATCCATCTTAATGAAAACTGCTTCAAACTGATTTCATTTGAGAGCACTTGGTGGTGAGAGTGCTCGTAGTTCTTTCTGCCTTTTTCATGAGGAATTTACAGTACTGTCCAAAGCAGAGCTCCAACTTCAGTAAAACAGGTATTCTAAGTTCTTGTGTTTAAGTATATTGTGTCAAAGTTTTGACTTTTGACAATAGGTTGATCAGTTTTATGACCTCCAGTCCCTTTCCCTTAACTATTAGGATGCTCACTCAGTTGAAGGCCATAAATATCACATGTCAGCTGGGATATAGAGGTTTCCTACCCTTGAGATGCTCACAGTCTAGTAGGAAAATAACACGATATAAGCAGAACTACATAGCGTAATGCGCTATAGAAGCAAAGAGGAGAGGTACTTCATCTACCTTAAAAGTTCAGGGAGACTTCTTGAGGAGGTATCTCTGACCTAATCTTAAAAGATAACTAATGCTATGGCAAATAACAGAATTATAAACAACAACAGAGTTCTAAAGCAAAGACAAGAAGATTAAAATGAGGGTACTACAAGCCAAAAAATTAAGTCAGAGACCAAAAAATGCAAGACACAGAGTTGGATTGCAGAGCCTGAGGCTGGAAAGATCGGCAAGGTCCAAGGCATGGAAGACACTGTGATCCCCAGTATTACCTAGCATTTTAAAGGTATATGTTGACTGAAGCTTATATTTCATCTTTAGATAAGTGAGAACAATGATTAGCCTCCTTAATTAAGGTTGCAGAAGTTATCACTGGTCACATCGTGATTCTCTGGGAGTTTCTTAAACCCCCTGAA